GCCCCCACCTGGGCCACCACCCCCCCCACGACTTCCCAGGCGCTGGGCTCTGTTCTTGGGATCCCGATCTCGCAATTTTCCTCGCCGCAAAACGACCTCATACCCCCAACTGGCCCGCACCTGGCCACCACACCCCCGACGATCCCCAGGCCTCTGGGCTCTGTTCTTGGGACTCCCGACCCTACGATTTGTCGCCCAAAAACAACCCATACCCTCCACCTGGCGCCCACCTGGCCACCACCCGCCCCACGACATTCCCAGGCCTCTGGGCTCTCTTCTTGGGACCCCCGACCTTACGATTTCTCGGCCAAAAACGACCCATACCCCCCACCTGGCCTCCACCTGGCCACCACCTCCCCGCGACATCCCCAGGCCTGGGCTCTGTTCTTGGGACCCCCAACCCTACGATTTCTCGCCCAAAAACGACCCATCCCCGCTACCTGGCCCTTACCTGGCCACCACCACCCCCCCACATCCCCAGGCCTCTGGGCTCTGTTCTTGGGACCCCCGACCCTACGATTTCTCGCCCAAATCGACCCATACCCCCCACCTGGCCCCCACCTGGCCAGCACCCCTCCACGACATCCCCAGGCCTCTGGGCTCTGTTCTTGGGACCCCGGACTTCGCTTTGAGTATTAACGATTTGCGGCCAAACCCACCCCCCTCGGACAGGACCCTTTCTGGTTTCCTACGATTTGTCGCTCCAAAACAACCCATACCGCCCACCTGGCCCCCACCTGGCCACCACCACCACCCCCCCCCTCACGACATCCCCATGCCTCTGGGCTGTGTTCTTGAGATCCCCGACCTTACGATTTCTCGCCCAAAAACAACCCATACCGCCCACCTGGTTCCCACCTGGCCACCACCCCCCCCCCCCCACGACATCCCCAGGCCTCTGGGCTCTGTTCTTGGGACCCCCGACCCTACGATTTCTCTCCCAAAACGACCCATACCCCCCACCTGGCTCCCACCTGGCCAGCACCCCCCCACGACATCCCCAGGCCTCTGGGCTCTGTTCTTGGGACCCCGGACCCTGCGATTTGTCGCCCAAAAACGACCCATCCCCGCCACCTGGCCCTTACCTGGCCACCACCCCCCCACGACATCCCCAGGCCTCTGGGCTCTGTTCTTGGGACCCCCGACCCTACGATTTCTCTCCCAAATCGACCCATACCCCCCACCTGGCCCGCACCTGGCCAGCACCCCCCCCCGACATCCCCAGGCCTCTGGGCTCTGTTCTTGGGACCCCGGACCCTACGATTTGTCGCCCCACCCCAGGCCTCTGGGTTGTGTTCTTGCGACCCCCGACCTTACGATTTCTCGCCCAAAAACAACCCATACCCCCCACCTGGCCACCACCTGGCCACCACCCCCCCACGACATCCCCAGGCCTCTGGGCTCTGTTCTTGGGACCCCCGGCCTCACGATTTCTCTGCCAAAAACGACCCATACCCCCCACCTGGCCCCCACCTGGCCACCACTCCCCCACGACATCCCGAGGCGTCTGGGCTCTGTTCTTGGGACCCCGGACCCTACGATTTGTCGCCCCAAAACAACCCATACGGCCCACCTGGCCCCCACCTGGCCACTCCCCCCCCCACGACATCCCCAGGCCTCTGGGCTGTGTTCTTGGGACCCCGAACCCTACGATTTGTCGCTCCCAAAACAACCCATACCGCCCACCTGGCCACCACCGCTCCCCACGACATCCCCAGGCCTCTGGGCTGTGTTCTTGGGACCCCCGACCCTACGATTTGACGCCCCAAAACAACCCATACCCCCCACCTGGCCCCCACCTGGCCACCACCCCCCCACGACATCCCCAGGCCTCTGGGCTGTGTTCTTGGGACCCCCGACCTTACGATTTCTCGCCCAAAAACCTCCCACACCCCCCACCTGGCTCTCACCTGGCCACCACCCCCCCCACGACATCCCCAGGCCTCTGGGCTCTATTCTTGGCACCCCCAACTCGACGATTTCTCGCCCGAAAACGACCCATACCCCCCACCTGGCCCCCACCTGGCCACCACCCCCCCACGACATCCCCAGGCCTCTGGTCTCTGTTCCTCGGACCCCGGACCTACGATTTGTCGCCCCAAAACAACCCATACCGCCCACCTGGCATCCACCCGGCCACCACCCCCCCTCCCCCCTCCCCACGACATCCCCAGGCCTCTGGGCTGTGTTCTTGGGACCCCCGACTTTACGATTTCTCGCCCAAAAACAACCCATACCGCCCACCTGGCCCACTGGCCCCCCCCCCCCCCCCCCCCCCCCCCCCCCACGACATCCCCAAGCCTCTGGGCTCCGTTCTTGGGACCCCCGACCCTACGATTTCTCGCCCAAAAACTACCTATACCCCCCCCCAAAAAAAAAAACGACATCATCCTTGCCAGCATGCCTCTCCTACTCTCCCGGCAACATGCTTCACGACTGGCACGCGCGTCCATCGTCCCTCCTGTCGGCTGCGGCAACAGCTATCCAGTCTTACGCACTTTCGTCACTGACGCATGGCTCCGCTCAGCGACTTCTTTCCTTTTGCGCTCTTGGCCAGCACAGCACTCGTTACACCTTTGCTTCCCATCCGCCTTCTGCGTCGTTCGCCCGGCCAACCAGCTGCTGTATTCGTCCCTGCCGAAAGCGCCTTTGCATTCAACACATTTCCACTTCCCGCGCTGCAGCTTCGCGTCGTCGATGCATCGCTTGCACTTGCGGTGTTGTTCTGCCCTGCCGTCCCACATCTTTTCAGAGAAACAATCTTTCTGTTGCGCCTTCTCGCACGCTACACACGTTCTCACTTCCTTCCTCCCTGCAGCGACGCACTGCTTGCACTTACGATGCAGATCTGCCACGCCGTTCCACATCCAATCAGAAAACCAATCTTGCCGGTGCGCCTTCTCGCACACCGCGCACGTTTTCATGTCCTTCTTCGGCGCAGCGACGCAGCGCTTGCACTTGCGGTGCAGATCTGCAACGCCGTTCCACATCCAATCCGAAAAACAATCTTGCCGTTGCGCCTTCTCGCACACCACGCAAGTTTTAATGTCCTTCCTCGCCGCCTGATCCCGCTCTGCTGCTGCAGCGTTTACGCATTCCCTACATTGCATCGACGCTTTCGGCGCGTTCTTCAGCATGTACTCTGAAAACTCGGTTCTCCTTTTGGGGATTCCGCAGTTGGAACACACGCGCTCTTTTGCCTCTTCGGCACGGGCCTTCTCCTCCTCTCTCTGCAACCTCTTACAAGCCTTGCAAGTGGGTTCCTCGCTGATGATAGTTTCCGCTTTGGCAAATTGATCTAGTAACTTCTCCTGGCCGCAGCGCGAACACTTCAGGTGCGTTTTCGCGTCTTCGCAGTCCCGGCACATTCCCCCTTTGCATCGGGCGTTCCCTGCCTTGTCCCACTGCAAACCCACGAACGCCTCCTCGTACTTCCGGCCCTCGCATACATAACACTTTCGCCTCTCAGGACAGTCCACGCAACGCCGTGACGTGAGTCTCGAGCTGTGGTGCTGGGATGCATGGAACGCATCCTGGCCCTTCCACAGAAAGCATTCCGTGCACTGCCACGGCGTGCCACTGCTCTTCTTGCCTTCCAAGCACACCTGGCACACGCGGCGACCGTCGTCCCGGCTCCACTGCCCGACCGCGTACTGGTTCTTGTACTTCACCGACGAGCACAGTGCGCACATCCCTGCAGGCATGAACTCCTTCTCGATTGCATCCCAGTCCATCGGGTCTCCCCGCAACACCTGTAACAGTAATCCGGGGCCCTTCCGCTCCTTCTGAGTGTACGGCGCGCGGTCGAAAGGCCGAAATATCAACATGTCTTCGCGGCGACGCACGCGCGTCAGAGCCACATAACTCGACAACGGCGACGTGCCCCCGCCAATCCTGAGGTCCACGATGACACCCTGCTTAAAAGTCTGGCCCTGTGCTGAATGGGCGGTGACTCCAAACGCTGGGGCCAAGGGGAATTGCCGCCGCTTCACTTTCAGACGCGGGTACGGCCTGCCCTTGTCGACGAACCAATCTTTTTTCTGCGGAGTCACTGGGTGCAGGCCCGGCGTCTTCAGCCCCTGGATCGTCCACTTGCACGGAATCACGTTCCCTGCGTCATCGCGACCCTCATCGAAGAGGACAAATATCACTTTCGGCGTCTTCTGCACTATGGTCTCCCCCCCCCGGGAGACGCGACCCGCTCCTTCGTCGCCATCGCACACCCATGAGTGCACGGTCCCCACGCGTCCGCGGAGTAGGTACTTGTCCTCGCTGCGGTCGATATGATCTGCGAGGGCCACAAGCATTCCCTCCGCGATTGGCAAAAAACCATACAGGTCCCCGCTCTCCTTGTCGTGGCGCTGCAGCCAGGCCATCTTTTGATGTGGCAGATCTGGCCGCTCTCGCAGCGCATCTGGTGTCGGAGTGTCGCGCGCAGGCACGTACACCAGAGGTTTCTCGTGCAGTCGGGCGTATTGCGACGCTCGGAGTTTGTTCACCTCATACTTCACGTCGTTATTCGGGAACACCCCGGGGTCGCACCGGAACTTCGCCGTGTGCATGCGCGCGTCATCTGGACCGTCGATGACGAGACGGCGCCGTTCGCGCTCACGCTTGCACACCGCACATTCCTGTCTGCGTATTTCCTTCGGGGACATCGCGCGCTGACGGCGTGCTCCGACAGTTTCCTTCTCTGAGACCCCTGCGGCGTCGCACAAGGCCCTACATCTCGCGTTCCCACATCCAACCACACCATGGAGCCAACTCCCCGGGACTCCAGTATCACGCCCGTGCAAAAATGAATGCGTGTCTTCCGTGAGGTCTCCTTTGCGGAACTCCTCTTGCACGGATTTCAGCCAGGCATCGTCGCAGCGCTCGCACTCCACTAGCTCCGTTACCCCCTGCACGCCCTCGTTACCTCCCCCCCACAGGAGAGCCTGCCCGTGTAGCACTGGCGGGAGCGAGGTATACTTCCGTGCCGCCGCGATGCGCTCTGCTGGCACGTCTGCAAGGAACCCTCCGTCCGGAGGGGCCAGCTGCCAAAAATCTCCGCTCAGAACGACGTTCAAACCGCCGAAGGGTCGCGTCACTCCGTCCTCCCCGCGCTTCTGGGTGCCAATGTCCCGAATAACGCTGCGAAGTTTCTGGTCCACTTCGGCGAGCAGCCGGGCGCTCACCATGCTGATCTCGTCTATGAACAACCACCTCCACTGCAGAACTCGCTTGGCCGTCTCGTACTGCAGTTTCACATCCTCGCCCTTCTCGTCACCACGCTTCACGGCGGGGATACCGCAGGCGTGGTGGATGGTGTCTCCACCGAGCAGCTGCGCCATGACTGCCTGGAAGGCCGTGATCTGAAAATGGACGCCTATCGTCCATTTCATCAAGCCTTCGAACAGCTCCTTCCGAAGAATACGCAGCACGTGCGACTTCCCGGTGCCGGGCCCTCCGTGCATACACCACCGCAGCGGGTCACCCATGCCCGCGCCCCCTCGTGCCTCCCCGTCCAGCTCTTCCATCGCCCTCTCTGCTACCTGCTTCACCATCTCGAACTGTTTCGCGTTGACCACGCGTCGGCCTGTGTCCTTGTCAGTCCGATGCTCAAGTTTTCTGAGCCACTCTGCAATCTCTTGTGATGTCGCCCCTGCCTGAGCCTCCACCTTCCCATACCCTTCCTCCGCAGTCACTCTGTCGGCCATTGACTTCTCCTTGTTTCGCGATGCCCTTGCTGCGGCCTGAACAGCTTCCAGATCACATTCGACGGCTGTGGGCCACGCGTTTCGCACCTCACTCAGCGACTTTTCGTTTGGGCGCCGGCCCCACACCTCCTGGGCTTTGGCCATGCCTGCCTTCGAGTTCTCATAATGTGTACAGCCACTAAGACCACCCTCCACCCCACCAACCTCTTCTTCACAACTGCTGTCACCGTCGCCGTCGTCCCGCTTCCGACCCCCGACGCGTGACTTCAGAGCCTCGTCCAGCTGGTCGAATCCAACCTCCAATTCTTCGTCACTCACGTCCTCGTCACTCCGAGCCTCATCATGCTCCGCATCCCTCGGACGCACGCGATACACGCTCAGGAAGTTCCCAACGTACCGCGCAGCTTCTTCCGATTGAACTCCGCCGTCCAACCACGCAACCATGGCGGCTTCCCACGTTTTCGCGGCCCGTCGCAGTGCGCCTGCGAACACCACGTGATTGTCGGCCTCTGACTGTCGCAACGTCCACGGGTGGAAGTAAGACATTACAATTCGCGCTGACCGCTCAGCTTCTCCATGTCGGCTGCGAGGCACCGGTGCCCCGAAAAAGGTTGGCGCCATAGGCCTCTTGTTCCTGACAAGAACCCACGTGTGTCGCAGGTGCCGGCATCCGTCAGTGTCCGGGTACGCCACCCAATCTTTCCCTGCGTCGCCCTTCACCATGTAATCCACCCCAGGCACTAGCTCTTCCGCCTGCCCCTGACTCCGACTATTTTCCTTTACTTTTTGCTTTCCTGTCGCCGTCAAGAACGCATGGTGCCTGTCCAGATCGGCGTCAGCGTCCCTGAGACTGGTAGGGTATGACACGAGCACGGGCCTCCAATACGTAGCGAACTCGTATGGCGACAAGTGCCACAGGCCGTCCCGATTTGGACGAAGCCCGTACAACATGGCAACGTCCCTGATAGTGACTTTCCGCCGCCTTGGATTTCGCATATCAACCTCCGCGAACTGAGCCTTGCGCCCTCCGGTTGTGCCGTCCGACAACCTCTCAACCGTTTCTACGTACTCGCGTCCGAAGAAACTGGACGTCTCACAAGTCTTGATCGACTCTGCCGACGTCACATCCTTCTCCACGGCATACGCTCGAAGATTCGCACACTCCACTTGGCCGCGAACGATGCCTTTCCCGTAGGCGTCACTCATGATGCGCGTCGTCATCCGCTTACCGACGTAGTTCGCGTTCTCCCCGTGCAACTGCCGACTGAGCTTCTGGATCCCTTTGGAGCACTCGCGGACTTCATGGAAGGCCATAGGCTGGCGCTTCGTGCAGTAGTCGCACGCGTACCCTGCCTGGGCGTCCTGAGCGATCTGGACCACCTTGATGATAGCTGCGTCGTTCTGCTTTTCCGCACATCCCTTCCCGCACGTGCAGCTTTCGCTGGTGATCGGGACTCTGTACGGTAACTGCACGTCAGAATTGAAACGCTGCGCGGCAAGCATGCATGGGTGTGTCCCATTCAGGCTCTCATGGTTCACGGGCCCATGCAAACTCCCGACGCGGTTCCGCCTGCCAGCCTTCGGCATATCCAGCTGCGACGCCAGCCCTGGGCAGATCACAGCCGGACGATCGATGATCTGCGACGTTCGTGGGAAATCGGCCTTACAGAGCTTCGGGTTGTCCTTCCGACGACACGCTGGCAAGGGCACCCTCTCCCCCGTTTCCGGGTTCTCCAGATGCACATGGTTCTGCTTCCGCTCTTGAAGGTACTGCACATCTTGGTCGAGGTACGCTCGCTCCCACACACGCGCCTCCTCCGCCTCTTCCAGCTGCGTCACTCCCTGCCCCGCCCTGCGAGTCTGATACGTCGGACGGCACACCAGCCCAAATTCGGTCTTGTACTCGGGCCACGCGGCCTCCGCTTCTGCCAGATTCTTCTGAAGCTCCTCTGGGGTGATACGCGCCGAGTACTCCTGACGGCAGACCCGTCGCTTGTACTCCAACGACTCCTTCACGAACTCCCGCCCCCATCCATCCGCATTGTTCCGGACGAGCTCGAAGATTTTGTCCAGCGGCGTGTGCTGGTGCAGACACTGTATGAACACCTGACAGTGCGCATGGAGCGCGCCCGTCGACTTCTGCGCTTCGATGGATACATAGCACGCGTCCACCCTGCCGAACACTCCACCTTCCGGCGCGGCGTTGCTGCCGAATAAGTCCTGGCACGGCGACATTTGCTTACTATGGTTGCAGTCCGGACAATTCGGACAGGTGCGCAGTCCGAAAAGATGCCGCATCGTCGCGTCCACAATCACACGGAAACCGTCCACGCTTGCCATCGGATCCCGAGCGAGTATCTTTCTGCGATCCGCCCAGGGAGGCACTCGCGACAGGATCGCCGCCAGCGGGATTGCCGCGCGCACATCATCCGTCTCTGGAGCGACCTGTGGCCACTCCTTACTACCAGCGGCCCGTGACGCAGCCGCGTCGTCGGCGTCGTCCGCCGCATTGTGGACGGGGTCACGGCGCCGCGTGCGCGACAACCGTACCATGATCATATTGTGCCCTTCGTCGGGAGAAAAGGTAACGAAAATGGGGACCCCGTACCGTACGCGGAGCGCGTTCGTTTGGAACCGCATGACCCGTCGTGTCTCTTGCGTCCCTGGTAGCCTAGAAGCACCACCAGTACCAGTAACACAAGTGGGACCAACGCAACGGAGAGCAGCACGATGACCTTGACCACCACGACTGGGACAGCACTGTGACGGGTACCAGCACGACAAATACCATAAGTGCGCCGAGCAGAACAAACGGTACCATGACCACAAAGAGGACCAGCATGACGGAGAGCAGCACGACTACCTCGACCTCCAAGATGGGGGAGACAACATTGTGACGGGTACCAGCACGGCACACGACAAAAAACCGCTAGTGGGACGAGCAGCACGACAGTGAGCAGCACAAGAAGTACCAGTTACACACGTGGGGTCAGCACGACGAAGAACAACACGAGTACATTTATCTCTACGAGTGAGGACAGCACTGCGACGGGTACCAATGCGACAGACCCCACGGGTGGGACGAGCAACACGACAATAAGCAGTACAACCAGTAACAGTACCACAAGTGGGACAAGCACGGCGGAGAGAATCACGGCTACCTCGTCGTCCAGGAGTTGGACCGGCACTGTGACTCTGAGCAGCACAGACGGTACAACTACCACAGGTGGAACCAGCATGACGGAAAGCAACACGACCGCCTTCACCTCCACGAGTGTGCCCAGCACTGCTACGGGTACCAGCACGGCACATACCTCTAGTGGGACGATGAGTATGCCTGTGAACAACACAACCGGTATCAGTACCACAAGCAGGGCCAGCAGCACGAAGACACATGACTACTTCGACCACCACGGGTGGGACCAGCACTATCACGGGTACCAGCACAGCAGGCACCGCAAATGGGAAAACCAGTGCGACATTGAGCAGTGCAAAAGTTACCAAGACCACACATGGGCTCACCACGACGAACAGCAGCACAACGACCTTGACCCCCAGGATTGGGAACAGCACTGGGACGGGTGCCAGCACGACACGAACCACAAGTGGGCCCACTCGGCGTCCCCTTTCCGGCGTGGTGAGCGGCCTGCCGGCGCTACCACGTGGTGAGCTGCCTGTCGGCGCTTCCACGTGGAGAGCTGCCTGGCAGCACTACCACGCTGGTGGGGCGCTTGTCGGGGCTGCCACGGGGTCACACCTCTCGGAGCTTCCACTCGGCTGCCTGACTTCCGGCACGGCAACATTGGTGATGAGCCTGTCGGCGCTACCACGCGGTGAGCTACCTCTCGGTGCTACCACGCGGTGAGCTGCCTGACAGCGCTACCACTTTCCTAATGGGACATCGGCGCTACCACGCGGTGAGCTGCCTTTCGGCGCTACCCCGTGGTGGCACGCCGTTCGACGCGACCACAATGGTGAGCGGCCTGGCGGCGCTGCCACGCGGTGAGCTGCCTCGCGGCGCTACCACGCAGAAAGCTGCCTGCCGGCGCTACCATAGTGGTGACTGGCCTGGCGGCACTGCCACGCAGGGCGCTGCCTCTCGGAGCTACCGGGCGGGACGTGGCCTCTCGACACAACTGCGCTGATGAACGGCCTGTCGACCCCACCACACGGTGAACTGCCGATCGGCGCTACTGTGCGGGATTGAATCGCTCCGCTACCATGTTGCTGAGCCGCCTTGCGGCCCCACCACGTCGTCCTCCTCCTCATCCTCCTCCTCCTCCTCCTCCTCCTCCTCCTCCGACTGCTCCTCGTCCTCATCCCCCTCAGCCTCGTCCTCGCACTCATCCTCGTCATCCTCTTCCTCCTCCTCTTGCTACTGCTCCTCCTGCTCCTCCTACTCCTCCTCTTCCCTCCTCATTCTCCTCCCCAGCCTCCTCCTCCTTGCGTCCTCCTCCTCCTCCCTCTCCTTGCTTCGTCCTCCTCCTCTTTCTCCTCCTTTCAGGAGCTTCCGAGCGAGCGAGGCAATAATCATCATTACCATGATCATTTTACTCGTCCTCATCCTCATCATTATCCCCATCCCCCTCATCACCATCATCATATTCATCATCATCCCCTTCCTGCTCCTAATCCTCATCATGATCATCATCATCATCATCGTCATCATCATGGTCGTGATCCTCATCATCACCATCGCCATCACCATCATCATCGTCACCATCGTCCTACTCGTGCTCATGACCGCCTCTTTCTCCTCATCATCCTCCTCCTTCCTCTTCCTCCTCCTCCTCCTCTCCTCCTCCTCGTCCTCCTTCCTGTTCCTCCTCCTCCTCCTCTTCCTCCTCCTCCTACTCGTCCTCGTTTTCCCCGGCCTCGTCCACGTTCTCACTCTCGTCATCCTCTTCCTCATCCTCGTCAACCTCCCCAGACTCATACATATGGATTTCTGACGGCCCAGGAGCCGGAAACGGCCCCCACACTCCGAAGAAACTAACGTCTCGTTGAACCTGGAGATTCGACGTCGTGATTTCTGGAGAGTGTCTGGGCCACTTCCCCCGGACCAGCTTTTCGCCCTGAGCCGTTCTCTGACATCCCGGAGCCCTTGAAGGCCCCGAAGACCCGAAAACTGCGCCCTTCGCCACGGCGCGAAGACGTCCCACCGCGGACGACGACGACGACGACGACGAGGGGGGCCACCACGACGACGACGACGACGACGACGACGACGACGACGACGACGACGACGACGACGACGACGACTAGGGGAGCCCCCGCCGCGCCAACGAGGGAGGCCCCTCGAAGGCGGCCCGAAAGCCTCGAGCCACGGTCCTTCGATGTTAGAGGTTCCACTCTCGACTGGACCCGCACCGCCCACGACGACAACGACGTGGCCGACGGCGGCGGCGGCGGCCACGAGCGGCGGAGCAGCAGGGATCAGCCCTAAGATGCCCCCAACAGGGCTCGACCTACACAGTGTTTTGCGTGTTCGGTTTGTTGTTCGTTCTCTTTCGTTGTGTCTTCGCTTCGCCTTTGCTGCAATACCAAATCGAAACGAAAACGGTCCGCGAAAACACAAAACACCGTCTGGATAGAGCCCTGCCCCCAAGACGGCCTCAAGAGGCCCAAAGACAGCTCCATGGGTGGCCCGAGATGTACCAGATCGGCCCCGGAGGCCCCCGGAAGCCACCGACGAGGACGACGACGACGACGAGAACGAGGACGAGGACGAGGACGACGCCGACCCCGACGCCGACGCCGACGACGAGAAGTCGGGGATCCCCCCTGGGCTTCTCAGGCCTCCCCAGAAATCCCGACCCCCTCCCTGCAGGGTACTTTTTCATCCCGGATCCGTTTCTGATGGTCCCCGCGCTCGAAAACACACCTCGGAGGCCGAAATCGAGGGAGAACTGCCGGGATTGACGAAACACGTATCGTCGGAGATCGGGGTCCAAGGGTCAAGAGTCGACCGCGGGACCAATCTGGGGCTGCGCCCGGATCGAGATCTCGAGGCAGATCCAGCCGTGGCGACGAGGAGGCCCAGAGTAGGCCAAAAGAGCACGAACAATCATAACAAAATTACTCCGACGGAAAGACCCCACACGAGAATCTGTTTAGCTTGCCTGGGGGTGTCCTCCTGCCCGTTTCCCTTCTCCCTCCTACTCTTGCCTCCTCCTTCTCCTCCTGTCTTATCCTCCTCCTGCCTCAACCCCTGCCTCTTCCTCCTCCTCTTACCTCCTCCACCTCCTCCCCCCTCCCCCTCGTTATACCTCCTCCCCCCATTCCCCCTGCCCCTCCTGCCTCCTGCCTCCTCCTCCTGCTCTCCCTCTCCCTTCTCCTTCTCCTCCTCCTCCTCCTCCTCCTCCTCATTCCCTGTCCCTCCTCCTCTCCCTCTCCCTCATCCGCTTCCACCTCCTCCTCGTCTCCATCTTCCTCCCCCTCCTCCCCCCCATCCTCCTCCTCCTCCTCCTCCTCCTCCTCCTCCTCCTCTTCCTCCTCCTCCTGCTCCTCCTGCCTCCTCCTTAGGCCTCCTGCCTCCTCCTGGGGTCTCTTGGGCCTCCTGGGGGGCCAGAGCAAGCCCAGATGCATTGGCAATGGTGCAGTACACCCCCCCATCCAATGTTCCCCCTCATATACCCTACAAGCACTCTTTTCTCACAGCCGAAGTGCCCCCCCTTGAAAGACGGGCGCCTCGTGGGCCGGGCATTCATGAGAGAATCCCGCTTGGGAAAAAAGAGTTGCCGACCATCGAAATTGTGGGTCTCTAGGCGTGTGAGATTGTTCCCCCCCCATAATCCCCCCCCAGGGACCCCGAACCGGAGATTTGACCCCCCTTCCCCGGGCCCGGTACGAACGCGCCACGGGAGGGCAGAGGGCTCCAAAACGGGCCAAGAGGGCACCTTGAAGCTTCCCAGACGGTCCAAGAGGCCTCCAAGATGCCCCAAGAGGCCGCCTAGACGCCCCAAGAGGCCTCGAAGAGGCTCCGAGAGGCCTCCAAGACGCCCCAAGAGACCTCCAAGACGCCCCAAGAGACCTCCAAGAAGCCTCCAAAGAGGGCCCCAAGAAGCCAAAATCGTTGATTTTCATTGTTTTTCAAATCTTTTTGGCATTTTCACCTTTTCGGCTTGCCGACGCTCCACGACCGCCCAAGAGACTCCCAATACCGCTCCAAGACGGCCCAAGAGACCCCCCACGACGCCTCCAAGACGGCCCAAGAGAGCCCCCAGACAGCGCAGGAGGGCCCCCAGACGGCCCAAGAGCCGCTCAAGCAGCCCAAGAGGCTACCGAGGCGGGCCCAAGAGGGGCTCCTGAGAAAGACCACGAACGGAAAAATCCAGCCTTCCGCCCCAAGAGGGCCCCAGGACGCCCCACAGAGGCCCCAAGACCTCCCCAAGAGGGCCCCAAGAGAACAAAAAGAGGCCCAAAAGAGGCCCTCAATCGGCCCCCGAGAGCCTTCGAAACAGCCTCCAAGAGGCCGGCGAGAAGCCCCCCCCCCAAGATCCCAACGGTTATCCCCGAACGCACCGGTTTTTGGATCCCGAGGGAAACAGGCCACGGACTGGACCCCAGGGCTTCCCCCCTGGACCAACGCTTCACACCGACCCGTCCGCTGAAGGCCCCCCCGTCCCCCGCTAAACTCACCAGGGGGAGATTGGCCCTCCCTGGGCTCGCTCCAGAGCTCCACGACACCCCCTGAGGCCTCTCAAGAAGCCCCCAAGACAGTCCAAGAGGACCCCGCCTCGCCGAAAGACGGTTCCAAAACGCCCAAGATGGCATCCAAACAACCCAAGATGCCCTCAAGCCGCCCCAAAAAGCCTCCAGAGGCCACCCGCGACCGAGCGATAGACGCTAAAGAAAAAAACA